CTCTCGCTCTCTCTCTCTCTCTTATAATTTCTGATCAATCTCAACATCCAGACAATTACAAAGACAGTCCTTGTGAGGTTTCATGTTTAATGACTATAACAGAAGGAAGACTGTCTAAAGCTGAAGGAAGGGATTGATCTCCAATTAATTTTTTTAATGACAATTTTATGTGATACCATTTTTTTACCCTCATGCTATGGGCAAATATTGCAAAGTCCAATAATAGAGTTTTGGCTAAAATCTAAAGATGTGGCAATTGCCACAGAGATGATGGGGATGCAAAACTGGTGCAGCCAACTTGGACACGATTTGGAAGTTACTAGTAAAGGATAAGGTACCAGAACCTATGGACATTAGTGAAAAAACAGTACACTAACTGTCTTACATATACCCATGCTAGTGGGTGTGAAGTATACTTCTTTGTGCTTTTGATCTGCTCTGTATTTTTTGAAGAGAAAGTGTTACTAGAATACAGCTATGCTCATTCTTTTATATATTACCCAACTCTGCTCATCCTCTGCAATTGTCGAATAGTTGACAGAAACTGTATGAGCTACAAAACCTAAAATGTTTGCCCCCTGGACTTTTATAGCAGTATGTTTTCTGATTTGCTAATTGATGTTCCCCCCACCTTGGTATCTTACTGCAATGTGTTTGGTTATTTCTTTTTCTTCAAGTAACATGATATTCCAGTAAGTGACAAATATTAATGTAGGCAGATGTTTGAAATAGAAATACATACTTTGCCATATTACACACTTATGCAAGCTTTAACATCTTTTTTAAAAAATGGTTTAACAAGTTCAAGAAGATCTAGCTGACATAATGAATCACTGTGAAGAACAGAGTTGATTTAAAGCAAAATTATTAAATGGATATGTGGTACTTCTTAAAGCACATTTAAGCAATTTGTGCTCTGATAAGTTTTCTCCAGGGCCTTATGCTGTAAATTCTGATAGAAATTCTTCATCGGGAATGTAATTAGTATAACATGGCTTAATGTCATGCTTAATAGTTTCCCAGAATGTTTTGATTAGAAAATTAATCTGCCCATGTTTGTAGATGATAGAGCATTTAAAGGAAAACAGGAATATCCCAATTGGTGTGAGACACTTAACTAAGGTTCAGTTGAAAATGTTAGATGTTACTATCAGGTTGTAGACCCAATATTTCACAGAAATAGCAAGAAGGAATTAAGTAATTATTAAAACTCTTGTAAGATTATGGCTTAATTCCTTTATACTGAAGCACAATCACTAAGGCCCACATAATTTGTTAAGTCACTTAGATAATAATTTGTCTGACAATAGCAAGTAGTAACAATGACATTCAATGCTAAAAATACATGCAAAATAAACTGGTAGAGTTTTATTGTGCCCAATAGAGACTTTTACAGTTTCTTTTTCTTTCATGTTTGACTATATCTTGTTGCTACATGTTTTTCTGTCTTTTATTTTCAAATGAATTTCTGGGTTTTGGATATTTTATGAAATCAAATGTACAAACATGTCTTTACTGAACTTTCTCCAAAAGGCTTCCATTATGTACATTTTTTGCTTTGTGTTTAATTCTTTAGCTGAACCATCTTAATAGAATAGACTAAAAACTTCTGTTGATTTGCTGTGATTATGGTAACATTTCCATTCAGGCATGAAAAAGGTAATTTAGAATTAGTTGCAATAATTAGTAAAGTAACTTCCTCACCTTTTTGGTGGTCGTTTCTGAAATATTTGCAGTTTCTTGTGAAATCAAACACTGCCCACATACTGTCCTGAAATTGTGGTCTTGAACAATCAGAGAATTGTGTACTGTCAGATTGTCATTCTCAGCCCTTAATAACTTCTCCATTTGCTGCTGTTGATTACAGTAATCATCCTGAACATTTCCACACTTACTTCTCTGCATTCTCACTAAAATTTCTTTCCCTGACCTCTCGGTGGGTTTTTCTTTCTTTTCAACCCACTACTGTGATAGTGGGTCGTATCAAATAGTAGACCTCAAAGCAGACAACCTGATTCCACTCTACTTTGTGTGTGACCTCCAAATAATAAAATGACCAGAGGAGTTAGTGCTCACACTTTATAGATTTGCCTCCATTTACTCATCTGCAAAATGAAAAGGTTCAATTTTATTCCTCAGATATGCAAACTGTGCTCAGAACCCTACGCTTTCATATCAGTACCTCCGAAGACTCTACAGAAGATGAGGGAAACGACATCATAGATATGATTCTAGGTCCTTTCTCTGGT